TTCGCGGTATGTCACATGTCGATCTTCCTCAATCAGCTTACGCACAGCATCAACGTTTTCTTGGGTGACTGCAGTTTTTGGACGACCTTGACGGGGATCATCACTGAGCTTGACACGTCCACGTTGAAACTCAGCAAACCAGCGATAAATTGTGGTTTTGGATGGGGCTTCATCACCAAATGCAGAAATCATCCGGTCACACACACTGTTTTTGTATTAAACTACTTCGAAAGTCATAATAAATCATCGCTCTTGAATTTTCTCGAGTCAATTCCATTTTCTCAACGACTAAACAAGTTTGACAAAACCTCGTGACAAGACCGAGAATCTTTTTAAAAATAAATAAATGGTATTCGATTTTTAAAACCAAGGAGTTTTCAATTAAAAAGATTTTAATATGACAGGAACAGTGGAAATATTCCATCCCCGATACTTTTAGTGCAGCCCTCGTATATTAAGGCAGATTTATATTGAGTCAGTAACTAACGTCAGTGCTGGCGCCGAAAACTAAAGATGGGTTAATACCGATATTTGTCAATATTAGGTAATACGAATATACCTAGTCTTGCCATAAATACTGAGACAAACGAAAAAAAACACACAAAACGAAAAAACAAATAAAATTTATTAAAAGTAATAAATTTTGTTAGTTTAATACATAAATATAAAACAATTTAAAGTATAAAAAGCTTATTCGAAGTGGTCTCCATTGGCTGCAATACAGTCCTTTAAACGTTGAGGCCACTTATCAATAGAAGCACGCACTCTTTCCATGGGAAAAATTTTCATTGCCAATCGTACGGATTGATTTAGGGACTAGACGACGGCCAGTCTTCAGCTCTGATGAAGTCCGAAACGTTCGTTTCCAACCAAGACCGCGTAGACCGAGTTTTATGACCTGGTGCCGAATCTTGCTGGAAGGACCATTCTTGATTATTGAACATGGTTTTGTTAAGGGGATTCACTACCTTTTCAAGAATGGTATCTTGATACACTTGTGCCGATGTTTTGATACCTTCTTCACAAAAGTATGGCTCAGTCAGTTCTTCATAGCTAATATCCCATCAAACCATCACTGAAGTCGGATAGTGCCCACGTTGCACTCTGTCGACTAATTGGGTAAATAATAAAACTTCCTTAGAACTTTGACCATAAATAGGGTCATTTTGTTTGTTAAAATGTTGCTCAATTGTAATTTTTTTCTCATCCGTAAACAAAGTTTTCCTATGACCTCCCTTTGCGTACCGCTTCAATAGTTGTTTAGATTTTAGAGAGAGAGAGAGAGAGAGAGTATTCTTTATTGTACACAAAAAACAAATAAACAGTGCGATACATTAAACACAAAAAAGTACAATTGGCGGTCTTATCGCTAAGAGCGATCTCTTCCAGGCAACCATCAGGTGGACAAGAATCATTTGGAAACGAACTACGCGCGGTGTACCCCATTCCAGTGAAATACATATACATGTATGTACACATACATATACACATACATATCTCCGTAAATATACATACAGTTCATACACAAAGTATTATAATATAATAATTACTATTAAAAAAAAAATCCTCTTTACACATAAATAAGAATAAGCAATTTACATATAAAAGATACTAAAAATACCTTTGAAATATGTACAATTGAAGTAGATACCAATTTCAGAAATCTACCTTATCACATACTAGCGACCCGCCCTCGCTTCGCTTCGGAAACATTAAAACACACATGAAACCAAAAAAAAAATATAAAAAAAGTAGCCTATGTTCATCAGAGACAATGTCGGCTTCTAATGGAAAAGAATTTTTCAAATCGGTCCAGCAGTTTCGGAGCCTATTCGAAACAAACAAACAAACAAATCTTTCCTCTTTATAATATTAGTATAGATAGTATAGATTAAATTGGTTGACTAATATTTAAAAAATGCTCCTTAATGAGGCATTTGAACGAATTTAATGACACAACACGCGAAGTTATCTATATTAGAATATAATTTATTTTATTATATAGTATATTAGAATACTTGTCAAAATGTATATATTATCTATGGTAAAGGACTTTTTGGCGGGAACGCGAGGAGTGAAGTTGTGTGATTTGTTTTATTTTGTCTATTTAGTGTTTCTTCGGGTTTAAATGTGTAATAATGGTGGTTTATTAACTGTTTAATATCTGTGAAAGTGCACAATAGTGCAAAAAAAATCCTCCAAAAAGTCCACTGAAAAAATCTCAAATGACCACCATTTTACTGAGATTATATTTCATCCCATATCATCTTATCACATTTCATTTCATTTCATCCCAGTTGATTAATATCTCAAATTAATCATCTTCATTTCATTTTAGTATCATATTTCATAAAATAAAAAAAATAGATAAAAGATTAGGCTATATGCTATGATACCGTTGCCTTTCCGTTTGGAAAAATAAGACTACTACTATCTATGGTAAAAGTGTTTGTTGTTGTGTTTTGTCCAAAGAGTATAGACTTTTTGGCGGGAACGCGAGGAGTGAAGTTGTGTGATTTGTTTTATTTTGTCTATTTAGTGTTTCTTCGGGTTTAAATGTGTAATAATGGAACCACCATTGTAAATGTATGAACTGAGTATGAACACAACAACTAAGCAGATTGGAACTATTCGCTTAATTCGCCTTATTCAGCAGAAATACATGTACAAACCTTAAACTACCAGAAACAAATATGAATTCGACCTGAAGATGAAAGTAATAGTAGCAGAAATAAGATAAAAATGCAGAATAAAATTGAATCTTCATTTACGGGCGGCCGCACGCTTAAGTTTTGGTGCAACAGACGCCGTGTTTGGTCTCGCGGCAGTTTGTACAGGAACAGTCTCCACGGTGTGTTTATCAATTTCAATCAGTTGTCTACGGCAGTACACCCGATGCCTTTTGCCATCTGAGCCGAGAACATAAGCTGTGCCTTCTTTTGTCCACGAGCTCGTTACCCCAAATTTATCCTGTGCTGCCATGAAAACATCATGCCGTTGTTTCGTAAGAAATTCAAACACCGTTATCCCAGTTCGTTTCAATTGAGACTTACTGAACCAGATCTTATTGCGGAAACTGAAATTATGGAACTTCACCAAGATCGGTCGTGCCCTTTCCCTAGCAGAAGGCTGTCTCATTCTGTTACACCATTTAATATCCTGAACTGAAACAGTATTTAATGAAAAATGCTTTTTTAATATGTCGGCCACAATTTCGAATGTATGTAGTTTCTTGTTTCTGTTCAGCCAATCCGTGGAAAAGCAACATCTTCCTGCGGCCATGCATCTCCATGTGATCAAGTTTGTGAGACAGAGCTTCAATCTGTTTTTGTAGACCAGACACAGCAGCTAGATCCGGAGAAGATATTGAGGGAGATGATACTGACTGTGGATAAAACTATGCCTCAAAATCAGCCATCTTCTTGTAAAAGTGCTCTGACAAGTCTGACAAACTACTTTGCAGTACATTCATCTTGAAATCAGTAAATATTTAAAACAGGAGAATAACACTTCCCAGCAGGCAGACACTAGTACTTATCACAATAAATGGTCAATTTCTCAAAAAAGACTTTTGTTAATATTTTAAATCAATTTTAACAAATGTGAACGAAAAACTCGTGTGTTTTCTGTGACTACCCGCGCAAANAAATTACTCTCAAATATATCAAGATCAGTGTTGTCACTTGCCAACTCATTATAATGTCGTGCCATTCTAACAATGGGATTAAAGTATGAGATGTTATTTTTGTGAACTTCAAGTGCAAAAAGATTAGTGCAATGTGATCTACGCGCAGTATATCTGGTATTAAAAGATATTTGCGAAATTAAATCACTTGAATTTATTATATAATGTATGATTTTGTACAAATAGACTAAGTCAAAGTATTTACGACGAAGAGATAAAGATTCAATTTTGAATTGGGTTAGTCTATATTCATAATTAAGATTATTTCGACCTGGTTTCAAACGGTAAGCTAATATCCTAAGACATTTTTTCTGCACTTTTTCAATATCATCTATATGAACTTTATAATACGGAGACCATATTGGTGTAGCATATTCCAAGAGACTTCTCACAAGTGAAAAAAATAAGTATAATACCGAATGAGGATTCTTGAAGTCTTTGCTTGATCTGAGAACGAAACCTAAAAGTTGATTAGCTTTAGAAGTTATATATTGATAATGTGAACGGAATGAAAGTTTCTCATCAAAGATAATACCTAAATCTTTAGCGACAACGGACCTATTTAAGACACTATTGTTCAAAAAATAATTATTAATTTATTATTAAATAAATATTAATAAAATAATTATTAACTTTGCGGTACATTCATCTTGAAATTTGTAAATATTTAAAACAGGAGAATAACACTTCCCAGCAGACAAACACTAATACTTATTACAATAAATGGTCAATTTCTCAAAAAAAATATTCTAAATCAATTTTAATAAATATGAACGAAAAACTCGTGCGTTTTCTGTGATTTGCGATTTTACCACCCTATTCTCTTTTAAATTATCAGTTAAGAAATGACCAGTATGTCTCTTATAGGCTGCAAGTCCTAAGTCATCTTTTAAAATACGCGACATGGTTCTAGGTGCTATCTTCATTTCCCGAGATAAAATCTTTTGCTTTCGGACAGGATTTCTTCGAATTCTTTCCCTTACTGCTTTGATCACCTTTTCCGTACGAACACTACGTGGACGGCCAGATCTTTTTCTGTCACAAACAGAGGAGGTCTCATTGCCCTATTAATAGCCCGGTACACAAACATTTTACTAATACCAGGCGTGTGGAGAGTTTTAAAAATTGCATTTGGCTCCATACCTACTTTGTGTAATGCAATCACAGCGATTCGGTTCTCTATATCACCTCACTCCATTTTAAAATCGCAAAATATTGTACAATGTATTGGCGCCAAAATGAGAAAACTCAATGAGCAATCATATAAAAATTACAGATTCCAAATTCAAATGTAACATTTTGTTTATTTTTAATTGTAACAGTATTTATGGCCAGACTAACAATCTGTACGGCAGGTCAAATCCATTTCGGGGGCCGGAGGCGGGAATACGCCCGTACGTCCCGGCCCCTGTAAGTAGCGGCCTCCCCCCGGTGAAGGTCAAGGGGCGACCTGAGGGGCTGAGGCCGCGCGGCGCGCTACCAGCACTCTAGCGCGCTGCCGTGGAGTGAATAGAGCGACCGGTCGACGGTGTATCGCGTCCCGACCCGGCAGGCTGGTTCTGGTCCAGCGGGGTATTCCGGGACACCAGCGGCACCGTCTGGGTGGCCCGACGGGCTGCCGTACCGAGACGGCCGACGTTTCGGAGCCTTCGATTCGCCTCGAAGGCTCCGTCGGCTGGGCGTCCTAGGGGTGAGCCGCGCCGTCTGGTTGTAGTGTTGACCGCGGTAGCCCCTACCTCATCCGGGTTCTAACCTCGGAGGGGATCGGACGTCGGGTGTAAGAGTGCAGGGGAGCCGTTTAGTGGGTGGGTCCTAAAATCCTTGGGCCCGCGGTCTGCTCACAACACCATGCAGACCGTTGAGTCTCACATACCCCGCGCGCCCCTTTTGCGCGGAGACCTCGTAGGAGGTTCGGACCTCTACCCGAAAAAAAAAGAAATAAAAAAAAAGGTCAAATCCATTTACACTAAGGACGGACCACAAGCCGCTGCTCTCGATATTTGGCCCACAACGAGGCATCCCAGAAGTCTCGGCAAACAGACTTCAAAGATATGCAATTTTCCTTAGTGGTTATAATTATGTAATCGAGTACGTGAAGAGTGCAGATAATAGTGCGGACTATCCCACTTCGATAAAGTGGCACGACACGAGAACCCTCTCATCGTGGCCGCCAGTAACTACATTCCCGATCCTGCGGAAAGAATGGAAAGCAGTCGACGACGCCCAAAACACGTCATCTCGGATCCTCCCGATCCACTAACGGTACTTCTAGGTACTTCAGGCACCGGTCACCGTTCTCGTCGAACCCGTCGCTTGTGACGAATGGCTCAGACACAGCCAACTGAGTTTCTCGCCGGATCTTCTCAGTGGGTCGCGTTTCCGATCCGGTGATAGATTCTGCGAAGCACCACTCTTGCTAGGGTTCGTGTTAGCATCGTCGTCAGGTTTGAGCCCCGTGAGCTCACCTACTAGTTACGGTTACGCTGGAATATTAAGGGGGTTGATTGCTTCCCGCTTCCGTAGGTTTAACCCGCGATTCCCTACAAGTGACCCCTGGGTGGTGCAAAACGGGAGCCAAATACATAATCGGTGGTAGGACTTTTCAGACTGGCTGGCGACCACCCTCCAACTAGAGTCCGCCGCCAAATAGCCTAGCTGTGTTCCGGCGTGTGGGTTGGAGAGCCAATTTTATTTTATTCCTTCCCTTTCCTCTTTCTTGTTCGGGGTGAGTCTTGATGATACCTGGAACATGCGGAGCAGATGTGCGTGCGAGCTCGCGGGACATGATTTTTTGACCCCGTCAAAGGGAGGCCCAGTGAAATGGTGTTCGCCGCCGCCCGTCGGTCAGTTGGGGACCTGAACCCGGGTGTCACTATTAAACTCCGCCCCGGGAAGCTGTCCCGCCAACCGGTGTAAAATCCTGTCGTGCGGTCGTCGTGCCGGAGTCGGAGACCAGAGTGGATTCCGGCGATCGCACGCAGGGTGGACTGGGGGCCCTTCCATGCCCTGCGTCAGTCTCTCACGCAACCTGTGGTCAAGCACGTACTGTGTTCAGCGCTTTATTCAGGTGCTGTCATGATTTCGCCTCGAACTTCCTACTCCACCTAATCCCACTCTCCAAAAAAATATGACAGTTCGAAAAAGAAAAAGGGTTTTGTCGGCGATTCCCCATTCCACATTTAATGTGGATTTCAGCAATGTAAAGGGTCTACATAGCAATCTCGACGCCGTACACCACCATCTTGAGACGGCGCAGCCTACCCTGCTTTTTCTGACGGAGACGCAGATATCTGCTCCGGATAACACTTCGTACCTTGAATACCCCGGCTACGTATTGGAGCACAATTTCCTGCGTAAAGCCGGGGTGTGTGTATTCGTCCGGGCTGATGTCTGCTGTCGCCGTCTACGAGGCCTCGAACAACGGGACCTGTCCCTCTTGTGGCTACGCGTAGATCACGGGGGTTGTACCCGAGTCTACGCGTGCCTGTACAGGTCCCACAACAGTGATGCAGGTTCAGCTCTGATAGAGCATGTGCAAGAGGGGACTAACCGCGTGCTTGAGCAGTACCCATCTGCGGAGGTAGTGGTTCTTGGAGACTTTAATGCTCACCACCAAGAGTGGTTGGGGTCCAGAACCACTGACCTCCCGAGTCGGGCTGCCTACGATTTCGCCCTGGCCTACGGCTTCTTCCAGCTGGTGACACAGCCCACCCGTGTCCCAGATATTGAGGGGCACGAGCCTTCTCTGTTGGACCTTCTGCTGACTACCGATCCAGTCGGATACAGTGTGGTGGTCGACGCTCCGCTTGGATCGTCTGATCACTGCCTTATCCGTGCTGCCACACCACTCTCTCGTCCTAGTCGTCGAACGACGACCGGGTATCGAAGAGTTTGGCAGTATATGTCAGCACATTGGGATGGATTGCGTGAATTTTACGCATCCTACCCATGGGGGCGGTTCTGCTTTTCCTCTGCTGATCCTGACGTCTGTGCGGACCGTCTTAAAGAAGTGGTTCTCCAGGGAATGGAATTGTTTATTCCCTCCTCTGAAGTGCCCGTTGGGGGACGCAGCAGACCCTGGTATAACAATGCCAGCAGGGATGCTGCACACCTCAAGCGGTCCGCATACGTGGCATGGAATGATGCCAGGAGACGTCGGGATCCTAACATCTCAGAGGAAAGGCGGAAATATAACGCCGATTCCAGGTCCTACAAGAAGGTTATTGCCAGGGCGAAATCGGAGCACGTTGCTAGAATTGGCGAGCGACTGAGGAGCTATCCCTCTGGGAGCCGTGCTTTTTGGTCGCTCGCCAAAGCTACAGAAGGAAACTTTTGCAGGTCTAGTCTCCCACTACTATGCAAGTCCGATGACAGTCTGGCCCATAGTGCGAAAGAGAAGGCTGACCTTCTTGTCAAACTCTTCGCCTCGAACTCGACTGTGGACGACGAGGGTGTCACACCACCGAACATCCCCCGGTGTGATTGCTCCCTGCCGGAGATCTGCTTCACACAGTGTGCAGTCAGGCGGGAGCT